AATAGACAACATAAATCTAAACCAAATGCACCTGTTCTATGTCCCAGGGGAGAAAGGTTGGCGCATGAACAAGGAGAAACAGCTTTCAACTGGGCCATTACTGCAGCGGAATGAATATCAGTAAAACCAGAAACCTTGTAAGGTTTCAGTTAAAGGCTTCGGTATAAATGGGAGACAACCTGCACTTATCAGTGTATTAATGGAGAATAAGTTAACAAGAGACTTAATAGTATAAGTATGGGGATTGAGAAAGCATATAACGAGATTGCTTGAGTAAAAGCTCGGGGAAAATGTGGAAAGCTCAGCCGAGCCGACACGGTGATCCCAGAATCCCAGATTGAGCAATGCTAGAGAGAGCTAAGCGGGCGAAAACTTTTGTCGTTGGCTGCAGCAAAAACTACTGTTTTTCAAAGGAACCGCGGCTGCAGCATTTTTTTCGTTCATGTGGTTTTTGACTTTTTATTTCGTTCCTCGTTGACTTTGTGCTTCTTCTTTTTTTTCCTTCCCCAGCTCGTGTACAATGGGTCTCATAGGATACAATGATACACAGTGGGCCTGAAATTTAAGTCTACTATACTATGATTGGGCCTACCAAACCTTGAACACTGTGGACCCATTATACAAGATACGCAGTGGGCCTGAAATTTAGGTTCCGACAGTATGATTGGGCCTACCAAACCTTGAACACGATGGGCTTGGATCACAATAGAGAGAACCCCATGCTCAGTTTCTTCAAGAATCATGACACTGTACCAAAAACAAAATCATGACAATATTTTCAAAACAGGACAGTTTTTTATGTTAGGGAAAAAAAATAATGGCAATAAAAATGAAAAGAAAGAGAAACAAAACCAATTTGACTTAACTTTCAGCACTCATATTATTAAATAAAATGTCATAAATTATGTTTCCATGGTTGAAGACATCGACACAGTTCTGCTATTTGTTAGGAACAAAACAAGTTAAGTGTGCTGAAAATAATCAGTTTGCAAAATAATCTTGTGAGGAGATGAGGAAATAATGGTAGGAGTATTTCTCTTGTTGATTTCCAAATAAAGAATATTTTTAAACAAGAAAAAAAAAACAACGAATTTTATGGTGAAGTTATAATCAAACACAGATCCACAGATACAATAAAATTAAATTACAACTCGTTGGTTATTTGGGATGAAGAAGATGGCATGGCGGCTATGAAGTCATTGCGTTGGAGAAAGTTGTTAGAAGCATTAAGATGATGATAGTCGGTTACAATCTTAGTTAAGATCTTGCATGTTGGTTGATGACCCCAGTCTACATAAAGGATCCTATTCTATTGGTTTAGGGTGTGAGAGAATGCAATCTTCATTATAAAAGGAGAGGTTAACTTGGATTTCCCACCTTAAGAATTCTTATAAGTTATTGGGTTTGTTCATTACTCTTGTGTAAGGATTAGTTAGTGTTAAACCCAAGCGAGTTATAATGGTTGCATGATCATTGTGCTCTTCTTAGAATAACACATGATTTCTCGTCTTTCTTATTATTTCTATCAAATCGCCATAGTTAACACGGTATTAGAGCCAAATTATGGGCCTATGATGTGTGGTTTTTGTTTACCCACAGTAGCCCAATGTTTGAAGCATAAAGCCCAATGTTGAAGCAGCTGGTATATTGTTAAACGATAGCCACAATGACATTGTTTCTCCTTGTTTCTTGATTTTCCTTCAAATTAAAAAACTTAGAATTGCAAGCTCAAAAAATGAGTTCCCTGAATTGACTCGGGCTCATTCAAGAATGGAGTCCACTCAATCTAAAGAGAAATCATGGAAAAGGAGGTTTTGTACTCATTTTATGTCAACAAATGTGTCCCTTTGACGACCAATGTTGGTTCCCTCGTGGGGTTTCTGATTCAAGGCCTCTTAAGTTTATATGAAGAAATTAAATAAATACAATTCTTTCAACAAAAAAAAAATTTAGGCATCCATCCATCCATTCATTTTATTTTAGTCCTAATTATAAGACCCCAATCCACTTTATCTCCTATATTTGTGTATTTTTTCCAATGTAGTCCCTCTAATAATATTAGTTTTAGCTAATAAACTTGATTAACAAGAATATTTTAAGAAAGACAACCCATATTTATTACAAATAACTAATTTAACTTATTTTTTTAATCTCCTCAAATTAGTCAACTAGCTCTTATAATTAGGATCGAAGGTAGTGAGCTGCCTTGGTTTCCAAGGTACTAACTACGGTCTTTAATATAAGAATTTGTTTGACTTTTATTTTGACCATAAATATATCAATTCACGTTGTCTTTCATATTATCTATTTTTTTCCAAGGCAGTCTTTGTAATAATGGTAGTTATAGTTAATAAACTTGATTAGCAGTGATATTTTAGGAAAGACAGCTTTTAGTTATTTTAAATAATTAACTTAACTAATTTTTTTAATTTATTTAAATTAGTCAATTAGTTTTTATATTAAAGACTGGAGGTAGTATTCATTAATGATCCTATCAAGCAACATGTTGTTTCTTGATTTCAACAATATATCTTGGTGATCGTTTTTTCCTCCCGTTCTTTGCATTCTTTTTCTCTGCAACCGGTTCATGTGTATTCATCTTCTCCTCCAGTTCATTCTGCTGGTATCAGTTGGTATCGTTTGTTTTTACATGTCATATATATTCACTCATTATAATCTCTGAACGTCCGAATATAATCATCTTCAAATTTTCACCATTTGATTTATGTCCCTTTTTTACTTTTTCCAGTTATGGAGATTTATGAGGCAGTAACAGGCATGGCAAACTATCGCCACCATAGTCGGCAAAAATGGAGGTTTGCTTTATAATGTAGCTATGTTATTAACAATGGATTCTGCTTCATTTTACTTGATTTTTTAGAGTGGTTTGGTAATATTGTTTGCTTCATTTAAGAGATTGTATATTCTGATTCAACCTGCTTCGATTAACAACATTAACTCCACCGCCTTTGGTCCTGATCACTCTATTCTCTCTCCGGCTTGTACTTCTTTGGTAATAGTTTTTTTTTTTTTTTTTAAATTCTTTGTTTCCCTTTCGTCTTCTACTGAGTTAATATTGTGGGGGTTAGGAAGCACCGAAGCAGTGCAAGAAGCTCTGCAAACCTGGCTTCCTTGAATCAACATCCTCTGTTCCAGTTTGTTTAAGGTTTTGCAAGAAGCAGATTTTTGGGCATTCTTAGAGTCTCCGTGATCTTTTAAAGTTAAAAAAATGACGCAAGAGAAGACATTTTTGTAAGAGCTGGTAATTTAAGATTTTTTCCCCAAAATTAAATGTATTCTACCTTTTACTTTCTGTTGTGGGATGGATTTTCTTACAACTAAATGCGTGTGTTACAACATTTTATAATTTATAATTGAGAGTTCAACTTAAAATGCTCATATGAAAATTATCTTTGGAACATTTAAATAAAAATTTTAACAATGGGATTCATGTTATCGTCTCCCACAAAACAAATGGGATTTTTGTCATCATAACCATGATCTGTCATGGTTAGGAAATGACTAAACTAGGATTTAAAAAAAAATTGTTCACAGTTATTGTACCATATTACTTTTTTTTTTTGGTTGCCCACCCAGTTCACCAAAGCTTTGCTCCGGCTACATCTGGATCCGACCCGCATTGCGTATCTAACTATGGTGGGTGAGTCTCCCAACAGGGATTTTTGCATACCCTGAGACTCAAACTCGAGACCTCGTTTAAGCAGTACCAAGCCGCTTACCACTTGGACCAACCCCCGTTGGTTATTGTACCATGTTACTTGTGCATTTGACAATAGTACATTAACACTAGTCTGTTTAAAGTTCAGCAAGGGCCATTTCCAAGACGGGCCTGCTTGAACTGGATCGGGCAGAGTTTAACACTTTGGAAAAAGCCACTTGCCCCTTTTTACCCGTAATTAAATAAAACAAAAAAAGACTTTAGGATTTGGGCTCAAAAGCCTGAAGGCAGGACTCAAAATCCCTTTTTATTTTGCTGTTTTAATTATTTTTTAAATTCTCATTCTCATCCCCTAAGTTCAATTCATTATTTCACTGGCTATATAAATGCTAACCCTCCACGCCTCTTAAATCAACAATATTCTTTTTATATTGATTACTATGTCAATGTGTTAAATCAACATCATCAAAAAGCGACATCAATATATACCAACTCAATTTTTTCCCCAACTCGTGTACATGGACCAGATTTTGGACTAAATTCAATTGGAAGTATATGCCCTTCGAAGATATTAGTTTTTACAAATAATATTACCTCTGATCCTACATATAAAAGTTAGTTTGAAGTATGGTTTATACAAAATTAATTTTTATATTTAGGACTAGAGATAGTATGACTTTATTTCTCCTATCTTGTTACTTCTTGCTCATCAATAGTACTAAAATACTATTTATATTACTGGAAAAAAAAAACACTACTTATAACCTACAATCAACACAACTCCTTTCTTTCTTTCACCCTGTGCAACAAGTCCGAATCTGGGGTGTATGAGTATTGAATTTGTTGTATGGTAGTGGAAGTTTTGATGAGCAATCATATGAAGGAGCATGAGCTAGTTGGGCATGACAAAAGACATTTTGAAGAAATACGAATGGGAATTAAGAAAAATTTAGAATGAAAATAGGCTTTAAAAACAGTATATGGAATTTGTAAATATTTTTTATTTGATATGCTTGCTAGATTGATGAAAATAAAGCAAAACAATAATGGACCTTCTGCCATTCTGAGCACTCGCCTTCGATCGCCCCTCACCATAATATTTGAAATTTTGAATTTTACCTAACACGAGTGTAATAGGAATTCCTTCCTAATTCCCTCTGCATACTACTCCTGCTACCAAACGCGATAATTCTAGAGGATCCTCAATCAACAAAGAACCATAAGTCCATGTCCATAGCACATATTTTAAAAAAGAAAAAAAATCATTGCAATAACTTTCTAGAAGCATGACTTACCAATGAATTAAAGGTCGCCAGAAAAGTAAAAAGGTGTAATAATTGGATATTGGAAGCAAAGAGGGTAGGGAAACACTTAAAAGAAGATTATTTTTTGTTACTTCTATGTTTAAATACGGTAGAAACTACAAATTTAAGGCCCTTATCTTAAAATGATGAATCAAGCTTGAAGCTCCTGACTCTAACTCTGAACCTTGGTCTTCTTTTTAGTCATTCTCTTAGTGTCCTTTTCTAAGAGTCTTTGCTGCATCAAGTCTAACAGACATGACTGCAAATATTTATTTATCTCCATCACATGCTTTGCCATCTTTGTTGCCCACACACGATTCTCTATGCTTGTTTCCACCTTCATTTGCATGACCATGTCCAAAGGCATGTTCACTTTCTGCCAACATATAAAACCAATTGAGAACTTTACCTTTAATCATACAGTTGCATATATTCATTTTTTTTTAATTGTCCTGTCTCACTATATAAAGACGAAAGACATCATGTTTTATTTGTATTGTATTAGGATGAACCATGCGAAACTGAATTCCACAGAATGTGTCAGAAATAGTGGTTGCCGAAGGGAAGATGAAAAACCTGCCCATCAAACATGTGCTGGGGACTTCCTAAGGAATGGAGAGTTGTAGTTCCCTTTCCCTTTGATAAGCTGATCAGCTGAGGATACTTGTCGAGAGCAGAGACAGTATACTGATTGGAAGCTTTCCTACGGTTTGATGCAGAGAGCATTGAAGACCGCTGAACAACCACCATATTAGTTATTTTCCCTGATATTAATAAAACCATAAATTTTAAGTTTATAGAAAAAAACTCTAAATTTAATAATTTAAGTATATTCTAAGGACACCATTTGTCCAAATGCCTTAGAAACAAACATAACCGTGCATCTCTTTAGAAGGATTTAAGAAATACTTTCTGTTATCAGAATATCAGCCAAACAGTTAGCATTCTGCCATAAGAAATAATATCTATATATAGGCCAAAATGAATGGCAACTTACTTTACCATAGAAGGGGAAGTATATCAGTGCAAATTAATCGATTGTGTTACCTTTTTCAACATTGATCCTTCGAATAACTGTCCAGCTAATGACATCCCAAATGCAGATAGTATTATCTTCAGAGGCAGATATTAGGCCAGCTTGACCAGAGGTCAGGGCAGTTATAGCTCCACTGCATACTTGACAAAAACCAGACTGACCATCATTACCTCCTTACAAGAATTGGTGCGCACAACTTATTTAAATTGGAATGTTTTAGCCACTCAATGAAAACTGCATCTTTTTCTTTATGTAGCTCATTGACATTACATTTACTGGATGGTAGATTACAAAATGAAGCATTCACAATGCTCAAACGCATAAAAGCCAACTTTGCAGTGTTAGATTGTCATGTGAGAAGCTTCAAGTATCTCTCTTACCTGTGTCCTTTCAATTCAAGTAATTGGTCAGATGCAATGCTGAAAAGTTCTTCCTCCAGATCTACATCAAGCTTTCTACCAATTATATGTCCATTTGCTGATCCAGAAAACAAGAGCCCCTCTCCTTGGTAAAGAAAAATGGAAGTTATTGCCAGATGATGAACATGAGTTTGCACAAGGCGTCCTGTGATAAAATCCCACACCTGTAAGAAAACGGAAAATGCCGTTTTAGCACGTAGAAAGATCCAATGAATGTTATAATTTTGAGGAGTGATAATATTAATGTATTGACTCATCACCTTGCAAGTTCCGTCGAGTGAACTTGATACTAAAACTGAGAAATAATTGCCTGATGTAGTTAAGAGACCTGTTATGGTGGACTCATGCCCTGACAAAGAATGTAACAAAGAAGGCAGGCTTCCAGTTCCTTCCAGATCTAACAAACTTCAACCAACATGAGCATAACAAATGCATCATTATGGTGGTCTATGATTTTTTTTTTTAAACTGATTCTAGAGATCAAAATTCTCAACAAAGAGAAAACTCAGACTTTACCTAATCAAAGACCAAACACATATCATACCATCATCAGAACTAGAAATGAGGAGAGAATCATCATCAGAAAATAACAGGCAGTTCAAAGTTTTACTACAAGCCCTCCAAGTCTTGAGCAATTTTCCACCAGTCACCTACAGATCATCATAAACATACCAAAATTTAAGGTGACACGAATGTTCATCTGAAAATCATATGCAAGCTAATATTATTTAGCTCAGCAAACTTCCAGAATTAAAATTAGCATATGGATACATAGTTTATTGATGAGCTAAATATCCAATCAGTACGCTTTTTTTCTTTGCCAAACATGTAAATTAGGTATATTAGCTTACATCCCAAAGATAAGCATTTCCCGATAAAGCTCCTCCAGCGAGATATGTGCCGTCCTTTGTGCAAGCAAGTGGTCCAATTTCCTCCAATGGGTAGCTCCAAAGAGCTTGTTGAGGCTGAAACCAGAACAAATGGAAAAAAAAATGGAGTTTTCTACTGGAAGTAAATGCTGTGATTTAGAACTTCAACACAAGACATAACCTTGTTCAAAGTCCAGATGCCTATGGCTCCGCCACCTACAGATCCGTGTCTGTTAATTTGCGACGCTGCAATAAACTGGTCCCTTAAGCAAACCACCCCGCTGGAAGGTGAAGCACAGTTTGGCAGGTGAAGAAGTTCCTCTCCTGTGTTCATGTCCAAAATCTTTAACCCTAATCCCATGCTTCTATCACCGCATACGACCAAAAGCTCTCCATCGCTTCCCATTATTTCTCCAAGCGAGCACATTGAATCAGAAACTCCTATCTTTTTTCTTCCCCCCCCCCCCCCCCAAAAAAAATCAGAAACAGATGAATCGCATTATTTATGTGAGGTTATTGGAAGTTTAAATCAGAGAATTTGAGATTCTCATAGTGCAGAATTCTATTCTAACGTTTTCCTCTTCTAGTGGGGGAAGCAACGTTAGGAATGCGAAGACTTGTGGTCCTTTTTGCCAGTGTGATACTGTGGTTCATGCAGGGGCGTGCAATTCCAGCAGCTGTTATCAGAGACTTGATGACACGTAGATTGAAGAGTAGCGTGTTGGGTCATGGGTGCGTTGTAAAAATTAGTTTTTTATTCAAATAATTTTATCTAAATTTATTCAATAATTTAAAAATTATAATTTTTGCCAACTAAAATTATAATTTTATTATTATATTTTGTAATTTCATTCTTGTTATTGAAATCAATCCAGGCTTTTTCTCTGCACTAATAATTTAACTCTCATACATATCCATCCTGCACACTTATTCTATTTTTCATCACCCTCCGCTATATAACTCATAACACTTTTTTTTTTTATGAGAAGAGGTGTGTAATACTGCTGAATCAAGAATTTTTTGGCATTTACTGCAATTTTATAAAAGATTAAGGTACATTTAACATTTCAAAATATTTTTTCAGATACATCTAGTAATTTAAAATATTTTGTGATACATCTGGTACTCTAAAATATTTTTTCAAATGCATCTAGTATTTTAAAATATTATCTGATATATTTAACACCCCAAAATATTTAGTAAGTATATCAAATACCTAAAAATATTTTCTGGTGCATTAGCATCAAGACAAAATAAAAGACTTTAGTATTTAAGGTGCTAGACGAACTTGATGCTAGATGCATTATAAAATATTTTGGGATGTTGGATGCATTTGAAAATATATTTTAAAATACTGGTTGCTCTTTGACCTTTTTATTTATATACTGTTTTTATTAAAGCAGATCATTATAAGCCTAGTACAACCTCAGTTAACATGTTCTAATAATAACTATTATTTTTTCTAGCATCTGATAATACTTTTCCGGTTCTAAATATAAGATCCTTATAAGAATTATCGCAGCAACTCTTCATCGTCAAGTCATCTATAGACAAAAAATTGATATGATTTTTTTTTTTACACCAGCATGATATGATTTGTTAGACTTTTATATTCGGAGACAAAAAATTATTTCATACTTACACGTGCAACACCAAAATATTTTGCTACGCACGTATAATCCCGCCTCCGTTTGTCGTCTTGGGTAAAATGATAAGAAAGATATTTCTGAACCTCAACTCCTCAAGCACGGAAAGAAGCGGAAGGCCTTCTACGCTCGTATTTCCCGCTGAGTTGAAGGCTGAAGCAGCTTCAAAGTTCTCAACCCTCCCTCTCTTCCCGTATTCCAAAGTTTCATTTTCGAAGTTCGAGTCTTTGAGAACTCTAGATATCTTCAACTATTCTTCATTTGGGGATTCTTCACTCTTATGTCCATTGCGATTGTAGTTTTGTAGGGTTGTTTAAGTTAAAGAATGGCTAGTTGTGGTTCTCTTTCATTGTGTCCATACAGCCTTTATCGTCACCCGAACCCAAAAAGGCGTCCCATTTTATGCTCGGCCGGCTCTTCTTCGCTCGTAGGTAAATGGTGAACTTCATTGATGTTGCTTTTTGTTTATGCTCCTCTTTTCTCGACTATTCTACTGGTTAACTGTTAAAGACGAACGGAGAGGAAGGGTACAAGTCACGTGGCTGAACGTTAAGTGCTTGATTATAAGAAGTTGGAGATGTTTTTTTTCCAGCCAAAGTAGCCTCTCAGAAGAAATTATTTGCGCTTTGGGGCTGTTGTAGAAGCCATCATAACTATTCATGTGTTCATGTATGGTTAAGGCCAGAGTTAATGATTTTTTATTGGTACTCTTAATGATGGGTAAATTAAAAACTGATACTTGTCATATTTTAACTTTATTATTTATGCCATGGAGTAAAAGGCAAGTTGAGAACTTCTGTCCTGTGTTTTATCACGTTACTTCCCATATGATGTTGGAACAGTGGCCTATGATTGAGTTATTTGCTTTGAGAGGTCAAAATAAAGTTGAGGTCAATACTTGACACTTCTAACAGTGAAAGTTCTGTCTAAAATGAAGTAGATTTTAAACTCCAATTTGAATAAAACAATAAAATTGTAGGTACCAAAGAAGATTATACTTTTTCTGATTCTTGAAGGATCTATGAAGAGACTGAAGGAGAAATGTCTGTTCATCTCATAAGAGTGGGCGGATTTTAGTCCATGCCTTTGTATCTATAGGTCTACCTTTATTCCATGCACCACCGTACATAGATGCAACTGTGAACTAACTTTGCTTCTGATTCCCCCCTGTCTTACTAATTTACAGTGTTAGTTACTATTAACTGTTTTAACTTGTCTCTCTCACGTAGGTATTGATGGATCTAAAGTACCCCGCAAAAGATTAAGAAAAATTGAAGGTCCTGGAAAAAGCATGGAAGACTCTGTTCAACGCAAGATGGAGCAATTTTATGAAGGATCTAATGGGCCACCCCTTCGAGTTCTTCCTATTGGTGGGTTGGGTGAAATTGGGATGAATTGCATGCTTGTTGGGAACCATGATCGTTATATCCTTATTGATGCTGGTGTCATGTTCCCAGAGTAGGTCTTTCAACTTCAACATTGCCTCCCCATTTCTTGTTGTTTATCAGTCTTAATAGCCAATCGAATATGCCACAATGATTATGCAGGCATTTACTTAGATATGGAAGTTGTTATAAATTAAACATACACTACAATCGTTGTGTCTTTCCTATTAGACTTCTTAATCTTTTCCATAATAAATGCATTTAAAAATTCAGAATCTCATTTGAGCTAAAAGTAATTATCAAATCACTGGTGGAGAGTTGTTGGTTGTTCTTCATTCTTTTCCTCTAGTATTTAAGTGATCCCAGCTTATTTGTGTTGCATATCTTCCAGCTATGATGAGCTTGGAGTCCAAAAGATTATACCTGATACGACATTTATAAGAAAATGGAGGCACAAAATTGAGGCAGTTGTTATAACGCATGGTCACGAAGATCATATCGGTGCGTTGCCTTGGGTAATGCTTCCTACTGTTATGACTTGTTAATTTCCATTGATATATGTTATTACATCTTCTTCATTTATATGTGATGGGATATAACGTCCATTGACTGATGCATGCTCTCATAATGAATTGAGAGTTAACTTTAGCCTCCTATTCTTGTGAAGGAACCTATTTTTTTGCACCTTGAATGCTGTGTTAATGTGAAGGTTATACAATGGGCGGCTGGGATGCAGACAACTATCAAACAGATATCTTTGTAATTGGCATTAGATCTATTGACTATAGCATGCTTAACGTGTATTATTTATGGATATATTTATTGGCTAGCTGTGTTGGACTCTTCTACAAGCTTAGCATGCATCTCATATGTGGTTGATTTGGTCTCCTTTTAAAATACCGTTGCTTAAAGTTTTGAAGAAGGATGTGTTAGTTTCTTTATAACACTGCAAGTTCCATTTATGCAGCCTTAATACTTACAGATACTAAGTGTAAGCAGCCTACCACTTCTGTGTTTAGTTTTTAGACGGTATAGAATTCTTAATAAAAAACAATTCTGCTTAAATTTTATGTCTGATTTATTGGATTAGTTTTAATTTGAATATCATATTTTGCTCTTATATAATATCTTCACCAATAGTAATTATCTCTTGGCTTATCAGGTCATACCAGCATTGGATACCCATACACCAATTTTTGCATCTTCTTTTACGATGGAGGTATTTGGCTGTAGAAATTTTAATTTACCTTGTTATTTTGTTGGTTAAATGCCACTTTTTAACTTGTTTTTCCCCATTGCATATTGAAGTTGGCTTTGAATCTCTTGAATCCTTTGGTCCTTTCTGCTTAGGCACCATTTTTTATTTTTCACTAAAAATTTTTAGAGTCTAACTTTTGTAATGAAACTATTTGTCTTTATTGCATATGTTGTTCAGAAAAGTTCAGAGATAGTTAATTTTTATTATTATTTTGCTAAAACAGCTTATTAGAAAACGTTTGAAGGAGCATGGTATTTTTGTTCCATCAAGACTCAAAGTATTTCGAACCAGGAAGAAGTTTTTGGCTGGGCCATTTGAAATAGAGCCTATCAGGGTGACCCATTCCATCCCTGATTGTTGTGGTTTAGTTCTTCGCTGTTCTGATGGTACTATTCTTCATACTGGGGACTGGAAGGTTAGAGTTTTACTATCCTTAATGTATTGTTTCTTCCCTTTAATTCCATTCTCCTGTTGCTTAAGAAGTTGATTCAACAGATTGATGAACAACCACTAGACGGTAAAGTTTTTGACCGTGAAGTTTTGGAGGAACTTTCTAAAGAAGGAGTAACATTAGTAAGTTTACTTGCTTCTGCACTAAAATAATTTGTGTTGAAAATTTTCATTGGACTTATATTTAGGGGAAAGATAATCTTGGTGCTTATTCGAATGCTTTGATGGTTTATAGGCTAGTAGCAGTAATATATAGTTTCTTGTGTATATTTTGAATTTTGATGATGTTTCCCCAAGAAGTACCTAAGTGCCTTTTGCCGTGAGTAGAACTTTCATGGTCAGTCTTATGCTAGAGAAGGAGCTCAAAGGACAATAAGTCCACACAGTTCCAGAGCTAAAGTGTTTTTCCCTTTGGATGAAAATATAAATTATGTGGAAAAGAGAAGAAATTACAAATGTCGAGGATAAGAAGTCCTGAAAACTAAAATAAAAAATACAAAATAAAAACATCAGGGCAACAAAATCTCTGAAATGCTAGTAAGGGCAGAAGAGCTGTCCAATCTTGTTGGATTAAGTGCCCGTTTGGATTAACGGTGAACAACTACGATTTTAGATAATCGTGAATTTTATAAGTGACACTGGCTATAAATGACACTGGTTAATCGTGATTTCTGTTTGGATTTTTTTTTAATAAGTGATTTTAAAAATTGTGATTATGTTTGGTTTTCATTTATTAAAATCACTTATGGGTGTATAATTACTAAAAAGGACATGAAGTTAATAAAGTTTTTTACATTTTCATAATTATTATATTTAATAATAAATTATAATTTAATAAATGACATGAATATTTAAATATTATTTTTATTTTAAAATTATTATTATTTAAAATCACTTACAAAATTTATGTGTCGTACAAATATTAAATAAAAGACCCCATATAAATAAGAGATGAATGAAAATATAAAAAAAAATTTGATTAGCAATTTTAGTAACATAAATAAGGAAATTGAATGTTCAATCAAAATTATAACTAAGAAATTTGACGATGCTCCTTGAATCAGAATATTACCTGAATATTTGATTCCGTTGTTTCAATCATATGTCATTCGTTATCTGGTTTTTTTAAAAATGTCTTTTAGATAAAATTAAAAGAAAAACAGTTTCATATTGTATGTTTTTTTAAAAAAATTAAAATAATTACCATTAGAATGAGGGGTAGATTGGAGAAAATTTAGTTACTCAAGATTCATCGGGATTTTTCAAACGTATAAGCTACTTCTTGTTGCTTATCCTAAAAGTGCGGTGGAAGGTTAAAATCATGATTCATCGGGATTTTATAAAAATTATCCAAACACCCTAAACATGCTTCATAAGTACTTATTTAAATTCAAACGGGCTTATTTGAGATCCTACCGCTTAACCAAACAGGCTCTAAGAAATTGAGGATTCCCTTAAAAAACCCACGGGCAATGTTCCAAATGGTGGCCATGTAGACAATTCTTTCCCATAACATGTCTAAAGGCCAAGATATACTGACATTTAAAGAGGAATTAAGTGAAAATTCTGCTGAAGAAAACAATGCCAGAATCTGAAAAAATTACTTTCTACGATCAACTAGGGGAGAGTCTCCAATACAAAAGGTAATTTAAAGCATAAGATACCTGCTACACTATTACTACTGCCGTTTATGAGCGGATGCATAACTGACTCTAAAACTGATACCCAAACTACCTAAACATGACAGCAAGTCAGCAAACTGTACGGGATGAAAACTACTCGCTCTGTTCCTAATTATAAGACAATTTGAGGGTGTGATGTTAATTACAACCTTTTAGAAGTAATTAATATTTTACCCCCTAATATGACCCTAATCAATGGATAAAAACACTTGGACCCACCTTGGAGTGAGTTTAGGAAATTATGAGCATTAATTGAGGGCAGAAATTTTGATAAAAAAATTTCAGGAAAATTAGTTAAAACTGTTTCATTGGTATGTGTAAGTTGGATAATTCTGTCGGAAAAAAAGAACGGAGGGGTTACTATTTAACTACTTGTATCTACATGATTGGGGACTACAAGGTAGCCTACTCTGCCACATTGCCCACTTTACCGCTACTCTCCTCCTTTTCCTTATGATAAGCGATATAGAACCATAGGTCCGTCCCTATCAGATATGCCCTTTAAGATGTGAGCATTCCTCATGAAACAGAAAAACCCCAGTTCATTTAATCATTGATTGCCTCAAAGTCTTTGTTAGTGGATGCTCTTCTCTATATGTTGCATTTCCATGTTTAATTTCAGTGTATATAACATTTGTTTGTTCTGTTTCCTAATTATTGATAAAAGATATGATCAAACTTTGCTTTTGGGCATTACCTTCCAGATGATGAGTGATTCAACAAACATACTTTCACCTGGAAGAACAATTAGTGAATCTACTGTGGCGGATGCACTGTTAAGGCGTATTTCTGCTGCTAAAGGAAGGGTTATTACAACTCAGTTCGCATCAAATATACATCGTCTTGGAAGTGTGAACGCTGCAGCTGATTTAACTGGTAGAAAGATGGTATGTTCTCCCCCTGCTAATTAGCAAATGGTTTTCCTGTTTAAAGATTGGGGTTTAATGATATTTATTGCAATCATATCAGGTGTTTGTTGGCATGTCTCTACGAACATATCTAGATGCAGCTTGGAAGGATGGAAAGGCACCATTTGACCCATCCACGCTGGTAATAAACATTAGAAGCGTTATTTCTGACATTCTGCCTCAAAGTAGAGTGAAAACATTTCCTGCCAGGATTAGTGGTTTAGAGAACCCAGTGCTGAATTCAGCTTGTGATATTATTTGTTAGTGGTTAGAATAAACTTGAAGAAATAAATGGCCATATTAGAAATTTCACTTTTTTTCTTTTTTCTTTATTGAAAAAGACAAACTATTATAGAGAAGAAAAGAGACTAAAAAGAGATAGGACAATACTAGACCATTACTAAAATAAGGATTTCTAATCCGTTGCATATATGCAAGGATTGCTCATGCGACTGATGCTGTAATGCTGCTAATTAGTAATATTCAACCAAAAATGAGTTCTCAGTTTGTGCACTCGAGAATTAGAACACTTCTTTCAGCGTCACATAGTGCGGTGTCTCTTACTAGTTTAAATAAACACATAGCGTTGCTTTGTGGTGCAAATAATCATCTATTTCATATTTCAAGCCCAGTAGACTTTCATTTGAGGTGTCTTTCAATGATAATATCATTATTGTTAACGACTTAGATGTTTAATTCAAGTGGCTCTTTAACACTGCATCTGAGTTCAATATAATTTATGAGCCAATAATTATTTGGCTAACTGTGCTGGTTTACCTGATTTGTTTTCTATGTTATCTAGATAATTAAGTAATTGCTTGTTTGATTGGTTAGTTGCTTTGGTAGTGATCCATCCAATCGCCGTTTATATATGTATTTTTAATTTGTTACATAGCATGTATTCATCTGTATCCTTTTATTTTTTTGAGCATGTCTTGGTCAGACTTGTGTCTGATGCTCCCGTTTTGGTTAATTTTGACTTCAAATAGGTGAAAGTGGAGGATATTGATGCTTATGCTCCTAAGGATTTGCTGATTGTAACAACTGGATCTCAGGTAACTTGCTTTCAAGGTCCTTCAAACACTTAATAATTCGACAGACTACACATATTGAACAAGTTATTGGCATATGATAAAATATATGCTCTTGTGTCAGGCAGAACCTCGTGCTGCCCTGAATCTTGCATCATATGGTGGTAGTCATTCTTTCAAGCTGACCAAGGAAGATATAATTTTGTATTCAGCTAAGGTATGGTAACAAGATAAAGCTCTAGGCATTTGGCTTCAAGGTTTTCTAAAGATTCTGATTTTATATGTAGATTAAATATTTAATCCTTATGCCAATGAAATTATATCAGTCTACAAATTTGAAGTATACTGTTTTTACTTTCAGTCTACTTTAGGTGAGAAGTAATAACCTTTGATTTTCATGTATGACTTGTTGCCTCTCTCTCTCTTTTTTTTGACAATTTTATGTTGGGAAAATTTTCTCTTGTGTTGTAATCACACTGCTAGGTTATCCCTGGTAATGAGTCTCGTGTGATGAAAATGATGAACCGCATAGCAGAGATTGGATCATCAATAATAATGGGGAAGAATGAGGGGCTGCACACATCGGGTCATGCGTATCGTGGAGAATTGGTTAGTTTGTTGTTGTGGTAGTAGTGACAGTGTCTTACGATATGAAGCTCTTATATTGCTTGTCTTTGATATGGTTTGCCATTGAGTGCAATATTATATTCTGCAGGAGGAAGTACTTAGAATAGTGAAGCCGCAACATTTTCTTCCCATACACGGAGAACTCTTGTTCCTGAAGGAGCATGAATTACTTGGAAAGTCAACTGGCATTCGACACACTGCTGTGAGTCTTATCTGATGCTGTTATTTGATAGATAAGAAACTGGTGACATATAATGATTAAATTTACATTGAATATCATATGAGTAGTCAACATTTGAAGGAACTGATGTGATTTTGTGCCAGGTTATTAAGAATGGAGAGATGCTTGGCGTTTCACACTTAAGAAATAGAAGAGTCCTTTCAAATGGTTTTGTTTCCCTTGGAAAAGAGAATTTACAGGTTGGGGACCAAAGCATTTTCTTGGCCTTTTGTTAGAATCATCATTTTATGACTTCTTAGTCTTTCCCTCCCTTGATATCTTGCAGTTGAAGTACAGTGATGGGGACAAAGCATTTGGTACATCAAGTGAACTTTTTGTTGATGAAAGATTGAGAATTGCCTTAGATGGAATAATTGTGGTCAGGTAGATATTTGTAGTCTTTAAGTCAAATATTGGAATAACCAGATTTAGTAGTGACTTTCTGATATTTTTCTTTTGTAGCATGGAAATATTCCGGCCTCAAAATAGTGAGAGTCATGTTGAAAACACCTTAAAAGGGAAGATAAGAATTACCACAAGATGCCTGTGGCTTGACAAAGGAAAGCTGTTGGATGCGCTTCATAAGGCTGCTCATGCTGCACTTTCAAGCTGCCCAGTAAACTGTCCATTTTATCACATGGAAAGAACTGTATCTGAGGTATTGAGGAAGTTGGTGAGGAAGTATAGCGGCAAAAGACCAGAAGTTATTGCTATTGCTGTAGAAAACCCTGCAGCTGTTCTTGCTGATGAGGTAAAAGCGAGGCTGTCTGGAAAATCTCATATGGGTCTTGGGACACCATCGTTGAGAAAAATAGTGGATGGACGTAACGAGGAAAAGAAGTCCAGCAAAATGGCTATAAAAGAAGGTAATATCAATATTAATGAATATGGAATCATTGAGGTCCAGTTGCTATACTTTTTGTGCAAATATACATGTCTGTTCTATACAAATCTGCTGTTAAATGTATACTTTCAAATTGGTTTTCTTACCTGTTATGATGCTTGGTCTCACTGTTGGCGTAGTCAGGGAAACCCAGCCACCTCTTTTCACCAATATAAAAATACTCCTAGTACGATAAATGAGTTGCTGAGGTTCTTGCACTTACTCATGTTGTGTGAGACATAAGTAAATTTTGTACGTGCATAGGTGAAAGCCCTTTAAACTTAAAGTGTGGCCAAAGCACATGTACTCTTTACTTTGATGTAGAATTTAATTTAATTAGACCAAGGAGGTGGCAAGGATTAAGCCCTTAACTCTTTACCCCTTGGTGAAAGACAAGTAATTTCATCCCAATAGTTTAAACCTATAGGAAAAGGCAAAGGAATGACTTCATTGAAGAGCTTTGAAATGTTCTGCATTTGATAATGATGAATGAATGTGGTGTCAATTACATTTGCTAATGATTCTTATGGGATTATTGCACCTTAAGCAATTGACAATGTTTTGGATTTCGCTCGGTCATTGCATAGATTAGAGTGTATATTATGTTTCAAGCGACATTTTTCTGTTTATTGATATGAGAGACTAATAGGACAGCTGGATGGAAATGACAATAGGGAGTAATTGAATCTGGAAGGTTGTTAAGTTGATTAGGTTTAGTTAGAGAATTCGTTCCATCGACTAATTGCTTATGGAAACATCATGAATTGAATTTAGAAGCAGCACTCAAGTAATAATTACGTAAACATTGGTTATTTTACCTTGGCTGACTACTGCTGGCTCACGGATAGTAACTATCGACTTATATATAATACTTGTGTGATTTTGTTTCTCTATGCATTTATCTAGTGTTAATTATTACCCTTGTTTTTGCAATTGATGTGTTAGATGATGGCACTGATGTTGAAGGACTCCTACCAGAGGAAGATATCCCTACTCCAAGTGGAGCTGATGCTGACTCCCCTGATTCAGAGGATTCAGATGAATTTTGGAAATCAGTCATCACACCTTCAAGGGCTGAAAAGTCGATCAAAGCTAACAATGGTTATATTCCACGAAAGCAGCAAGAGTCCCAGCAGATGAAAGATGATTCTGGAGACTCTGAAGAAGGCGAGTCTGAACCCAAGCCTTCAAAAACAGTGAAGAGAAATAAATGGAAGCCTGAGGAAGTGAAGAAGCTGATCGATATGCGTGGAGAGCTGAACGAGAGATTTCAAGTTGTGAAGGGAAGAATGATCCTCTGGGAGGAGATATCTCAAAAGTTGTTGGCTGATGGTATCAACAGAAGTCCAGGGCAATGTAAATCTCTGTGGACTTCTTTGATACAAAAATACGAGGTTTGTTTCATCTTCTTTCAACCGCAGATATTAAATTTAATATCATCAAGCAAATCAAGTCACGCTTGAAATGATCGTCTGTATTTCTTGAGTTTTCATCTCTCCCTCTCTGTTCAGGTCCAAAAAAAAACTCTCTCTCTCTCTCTGTGTATATACTCCCTCTCTATACACACACACACACACACACACACAGAGACATATATCTTAAGAAAATGATGAGGGTCCTCTATCAGATCATTTATTTCTGTTTATCTTTCTTGATGGTAACTGTGGCCATTGTTAACGTATACTTGTGAAGCAGGAGATCAAGAATGGGAAGAACAAGAAAGGCTGGCCATATCTGGAGGACATGGACAGGATATTGTCGGATAAGGAGGCGCGGGCAGCAAAATGAACGAGACGTGAACAAGTAAGATTGAAAACGACAGTGGTATTCAAGAAGATAATCACCGACGTCAGTTGCATGATTCTTATGTGGCGTTGAGATCTCTAGTCCCCTGAGGCATCACACGGACTTGAAATTAATCAAAAGATCCGCTAACAGAAAGCTCATGAGGGGCAGAAGGGGGATTTTCATTGTCTTTAGGGCACTCGCCTCTTAATTTTTGTCATAATTAAATTAAATTCATTATTTTGTAAGCGAAGCAACTATAGAAATGTAATTTTGCCTTTGGACAATAGCCATAACTAATTTTATTTTTCAATGTTTATGCAACGGGCTTTATAAATGGCGAATGGTGAAGAGGTCAGAATTCCTTCCAAGTTTTCCCGAGTATAATTGGCTCGTTTAAAATTAAAAACAAAACGCAGGAAATGCGTATCTCTTGAGTTTTGTCTCAAAAGAAATTTAAATTTGAGATCGGTCGTGTGTATTTTGTCCAAAAATCAGTTGCATTAACGTCACTATCATATTCATATTTACAAATTATATAAAATAGAAAAAAATTGATTCAATTAGACCTTTAAAATCGCGCAGTCTTGTTAAAAAAAAATCATATTTTTTTTGGAAAAAAAAATATTGGCCTATCTTATGGGGGAAAAAAAGGTTATTGGCGTCTGTTCGAGTCTTCATTTACCAAAATCAAGATTCTTACTCTTCCAGAGGTACCAAAATTTTTGCATTTGGTTGTCTTTCTTTTCAGTTAAGGAAACATGCATTCGTGATATGCAGCGGTTTGCTTATAAAAGGGGGAAAAAATCATTATGCCATTATACGATCCTAGTAAACAATTAATAATTTTTACTGTATATGTTTATTTACATTTTGGACATAATTAACAAATTTTATTTAACCAATAGGCATTGATCCTAGTGGAATGAGTTTTGTCTAGTCAAACATCAATTGTCGAGTTTGAGTCAATGTAAATGCAAAAAATGTCTTTAAGAAAGCTATCTTAATTAGGCCCAAGGAAAACAAAAAAACTAGACCTGACCAGCAGGTTCAATCGAAAAACCAGTGAACCGGTCTCCAATCTGGTCTGGTTTAGATAAAAAACTGGTTACCTATAGAACCGCTAATTAACCGGTCAAGCCGGTATTAAACTAGTCAACCGCTCGTTTTGGGGGTTGGTTGGTTTATTTTTTTTTCTCCACCCAATGCCCAAAACGATGTTGTCCAACATTAAAAAAAAATTGCAACACTGTGGTTCAATTCCCTCGGTCCGTGTCTCCTAGCCAGAATCCCATTTCCATCTTCGTTGAGCTCGACCATTCTCCCTACCCCAAATCCCTTGCATAACCATCGAGTTGCCGTGGAGGGTGGAGATAGCATCATGGTGGTCGACTTGTAGCGGAAACAGAGGCACGGTGGTTGACCAAGATTCCCATTCCCTTCTTCGTTGAGTTCGTTCTAGTTGACCGTTCTCCCTATCCCAAATCCCCTGCAACGCCGTCGAGTTGCCATGGAGAGTGGAGACAGCGGCGCGGTGGTCAACTTGTAGTAGAGAAGGAGGCACCATGGTTGATCTGTCGTGCATTGTGGAGAGTGGAGACAGAGGAAGCACAGTGGTCGCCTCTCCAAATCCTGGATTTTACTGCTCTCCTGGTTCAAATTCTTGGTTCATATTCAATCAATCATACCGGTTCTAAATTACTTTTGTTGAACTGGATTGTGATACTTTATTTAGGATGCTTAAGAAGAGATCTGTTGAAGGATGTGAGTGTAGAACTGGTTTTGTTGGCTGACTCTAGTAATTTTGTGCGTTCTTGTGGCAATTGAGCTAATGGCCTGGGCAAGAGTGTTATGGACTCTTTGTTCTATTTTAATATTATGAATTAAATTATATTATTTTAATATGACCAATCCGATTTCAGTCTGACCCCTCGTCCGACTAGTGACCCTTAATCCACTGTCTTGATCAGTTTAATCTCCGGTCTGGTTTTTTATTCCTTGATAGGGCCAGACAATATTTGAATATTGATGGCTTATTAAAAAAAAAATTTATTCTCATGTCTATTATTATCATTAAAGGCCAGAAAGAAGCATAAAATCAGATAGGCCATTTTTTCAATGGGACAAAGACAGAGATGGGCTATTTTTATCTGGAAGAACTCAGTTGGGCTCGAAGGTCTGGCCCATGGAAATGTTGATGATATGATCTCTTTACTTTAACCATGTGAAAACCCCAATACGCCCCTCCTGCCTTTCACCTCAAGCCAGCGCAAACAAAATAAGGGTCTCCTTTATTTCTCGCTGCTGTTCGATCACACCCGACTACACAGCCAGATCTCTTGTCACAACTTTCTAACCGGTAAGCCTTGTTCATAGACTAGGGTTTGTAAAGGTAGCATTCTTTGATTTCTTCTCCAATTGATTTTCCAAAATGATTCAGGAAAATAACGTTGATTTCCTCTCTTCTTGGTTAGGTTTTTCAGTCATGAAGCTTGATACCAGCGGTCTTGAGTCATTTCCTACTCAAATTCAACCCATCGATGGCATTGTTGGAGACTTTTCGGCTGCCCCTGCATTTGAGCTCCCTAGCTTAACCGATGTGAGTGCTTGGCTATTAGCTCGAAATTTGAATATTCCCTTTTTTAGTTCTTCGTTGAAAAGAGGTTGCGATTGACTTGTAGAGGTTATAATCAAATGAAGGTGTGTGTATAGATATATATATTGCAACGACTTGAATCATCAAGCTTCTCATGAAGGTCTTTTTTTTTTTTTTTTGTTATAGTTTGACGGTTTCCAGAAAGAAGCTATTCAGATGGTGAAGCCTGCCAAGGGTACCACCACTCTTGCTTTTATATTCAAGGAGGGGGTTATGGTAGCTGCCGATTCTCGGGCTAGTATGGGGGGTTATATATGTAAGTACAAAGCTCCTATCTCATGTTTACTCTATTTAGATACGAGTCCATTGGTGAAAATTATTTTCGTTCACAATTTGAAATGTGTTATAACCCATGTGCAGCATCTCAATCCGTGAAGAAAATTATAGAAATTAACCCATACATGCTTGGCACGATGGCTGGAGGAGCTGCAGACTGCCAATTCTGGCACAGAAATCTCGGGGTCAAGGTAATGCGTGCAATCTTATATCAAATTTTTTTTTTTTCTCTGTCTTGCCCTTTGTTTGCTTAGTTTCTCACTTAAGTGCTTGCATGCTAGTATTCCCAAAGAATGCTGTTCCATGTTTACTTTACTGTCGTTGTTACCATAATACTTACAAATTCTATGATTTGACTTCATTTACATTATAGTCATTCCCTCAGAATTACTTATCCAGGGCTGCTGCTTAGGCTATAGATAGGAAGCACTTAGAATAAAATAAGTTCTGGTTTGCTTCATGTTGGGAATCTTACAGTAGAAGAGGGAGTGAAATAAAGACTAGGTCTTACCTGCTTAGGCTATAATACATTTTAGTGTGTTGTAGAGGTTCCCCCTTGGTCATTTTGCCAGTCTTTTATACTTTCTGTGCACGCAATTGCATATGGCTTTTGAGTCCTCCTTGTTTGAATGTGTAAGCCGAGTATTGAAGCAAAATTTTGGTTCAAAGTAGTCAAATGGAATATACAGAGTAAGCTGCATGATTCTTCTCATTTTAGTGTGCTTAGCTTTTGCATCTTTTGCTAGTTTTCATCTCTTTGGATTCCAGGATGGGATTTCCTTTTATGCTTACGTTCACGAATAGTTTCCCTAATTCAATCGTTTTATTTTTAGTGCCGGCTGCATGAATTGGCAAATAAGCGAAGAATTTCAGTTACAGGAGCCTCAAAGCTACTTGCAAATATTTTATACTCCTACCGTGGAATGGGGTTATCTGTTGGAACCATGATTGCTGGATGGGATGAAACGGTAAATCACATGTTCTAGTTAGTAATCCGTTTTGCCCTCCTAATTCTGTAGTGTGATCCGGGAACGTCACTTTTCAGGGTCCTAGCCCATTTTCTAATTACCAAATAGGTTTTGCCCTGCTGATTCAATTTGTGATGATGTGATATCACTTTTCAGGGTCCTGGTCTGTATTATGTTGATAGTGAAGGGGGAAGATTGAAAGGAACCCGTTTCTCGGTTGGATCTGGGTCGCCATACGCTTATGGTGTACTGGACAGCGGGTTAGCTAAGCTTTTCTGCTAAATTATCTATCAGCTATAGCATTATTGTTGAATGTTGAATTTGTTATTATTTGTGTTGAATTGCTAGGTACCGCTACGACATGTCAGTTGATGAAGCTGCAGAATTGGCCCGAAGATCAATTTATCATGCAACATTTCGTGATGGGGCCAGTGGTGGAGTTGCCAGCGGTATCTTATCTTTCTCTTCCTTTGTTCCACCTTCAATGATACCGGATTTCCTTAACATTCCCCCTCTTCAAAATTGCCCGGCAAAAAAAGAAAAGAAAAGGGATTTATACATGCTCATGCGCCTGGTTCATGTTTGCCTTTCTTCATTCTTTTAAACTAGAAACTGAAATTAGTGGTCTTTGAAATCAGGAGTATACAAGCTACCTGTTTTTATTCTAGTTCACACTTCACATAATAATAGTTTTTTGGTTAATGACTGTTATCCACCGACTAATTTAGATGCATAGACTGTAATTTTGCACTGTAAGTTTTGACGTGAAATCAATCTTTACTGACCTATAACTTTCATATGATTTTAGTTTATTACGTGGGACCTGACGGATGGAAGAAATTGTCCGGTGATGATGTGGGAGAACTTCATTACCACTACTACCCTGTCACTCCGAACACAGTAGAACAAGAGATGGCGGAGGCGCCTGGAGCGTAATGGAAGTTATGGCAATTATTTCAAGTGTCTGTTTTTGTCTTTTTAATTTCAGGCCAAAAAAAGTATCTTTGTTTATTGTTTCTTTTTGGTATAATCTTTTAAGTGTCTCTTGTTTAGCTGGCCTCGTCCATACCTTATCGAACGAAAGATGACTGTAGTGGATCAGGTCTGGCGGACTAGAATGGGCTGTGACTTGTGAAAGCCCCTACATCAAATCCAGTTTATCGAAACTTTGCGCGCATACTAGGGACCAATTTATACTGTTTAATTCAATGGTTGAAAAACTGTTCCGACCATTCAACCAGATGAGGTGCTAATTTAATATATGTCATTAGAGGCGGCAAGTCTTAAAATATTTAAAAAGTTGAATTAAGAGGATGAGCTTAATTTTTTTTATGGTTAAATATCTTGTTATTAGTGTATAAAAATTGAAAGGCAAGAAAGTGAGGGGTTGTTTTCTCTTTGATTTAGCCAAAATGTTATCACAAGTTTTCGAAAATATGATTTAATTAAGAGGCTACTTTTTAGCAAAATAAAAAAAATTTGGTTGAGAGGAAAAAGCATAACAGATACTGAATTAAAAATTGAAAAAAAAAATGGGTATCTGTAAAAAAATTTTAATAAATTAAGCATTTACAATTTTAAAAATGAATAGAAAATTATTATGAGAAGTAACATTTTTTGTGTGACAATTTTGAGAAAGGAGTTGGGTTTACCCACAATTTAAACATAAGAAAACTAACTCTTGATCCTGACCTTATCTACATAGCTTAAATTGGGACGGGGAAGTTTCATGTGGGAAATTACCATATGTTATAAGAAGTAACATTTATATAATGTATAATGATTTTACAACATAATTTACAGTGTTTCATTTTCTTTTCTTTTTAATTTTTGACAACATTAGTGTTTCTTTTTTTTGATGCATATACAATATATAGATTTGGAGCAAATATAATTTATAAATAATATGCGTGCTCGCATGCGACCATGCATAACCGGGCGCCAAGCAGTTTTCCTTGAATTAGCCGATCTAATCTTATTTTTTAAACATTATTTCCTTTTTTGGTCAAAATTTAAACATTACTTCAATCTCACATATAAAAGATATTGTATAGAATACGAAAGCTTGTAAATAGGATAAATTATTGTAAATTATGTGTTGATTGCTATAAACAATAAACAAGTTTATTAATGACAATAAACATTTTATGAAAAAATGAGGAGAAACTATGAATTATATTGTAATATTGAGTGTATATGTCAACAACTCTTCAAAAAGGGACAATGACAAAAAAAAAAAAGTTAAAATTTTATAAATGTCAAACAAGAAATGTCAACAAAAATTTATTGTCATTTGCAAATTCAAACTTGTCAATACCAAATAAACTTGTATTACCAAACCTGATTTGGGATTTATAATTTTCAGCTTCTTTTTCTGTCATTCTCTCTTTCAAAAATTGTGTTTTCAAATTTTATAGTTAAGGCATATAGCCTATAATATTAATGATTTTTTTAAGAGTTTTCTATAATGAATGCACATAACTTTCAAATATATTTATTCTTTTGTTGTAGCTTTTGAAATAGAATTTAAAAATTTGTCATCTATAAATAGTAAGTACGTACCCTCTTTGTCCGTTATTATAAGAAATAATTAGTAAAAACACACGATTAGAAATATTAGTTAAATTAAGTTAAAAAATGTATAATATATATTTTTAATTTTACTCTTATTTGTAAAAAGAATATATAAGGGATAACATGTAAAATTTATTGTAGAAAGATCATAAGTAACATATTTTAATGGAAGTAAAAATATAGAGACTAATTTAAAATTTTAGATAGGATTTGTTTTTATATTTAGAAATACTATTATAAAAAAATTGTTTCTTATAAAAAAGAGAGGGAATACTAAAATAATTGCAAGCTTTAGATAAATGAGAATCAGTCTCTATTTTCTCTCTCTTTTTTTTTCATTTCCTTCACAATCCCTGGTAACTTTCCTTATTTTCATGACCGATGCCATATTTATATCCCAGGCCCTTTTTATTTCTATGTTAGTATTTATCCTATTAAACAAATTCCTAAACAAGATATTTTGGCAAACCATGATTGATCCCCACCGCGGCTGACCCGATCTTTTGCTCAGACACAAAAGAAAAGACATGCTGTGTCTTAGCTGACTTCTTCCACGAAGGTGACGTTTTTCTTATACTGCCACTTGCAAAATAATCCCGCTGACCACGTGGACATATAATGACAATAACACGTGTCCACGTCTTCATTTAGGTAAAGTCAAAAGAAGACATAATTAATTAATTATTACAAACAAGGAAATCATTATCACACGGATTAACAACACATTGACAACGTAGCCGACCTGCGCATATGATTCATTTACACTCTAGCATTTCGCCGACATACACGTCTTCCCCTTTCTCACACCGTTATTGTCGTTTCCTACCCTTCCAAAAGTCCTGTTTCGTACGCGTTATCCATTTCCATTCTTCTTCTTCTTCTTCTTAAATTCTTTATTCTTGGCACACAAACAAGTGGATCTCTGAGAAGTCCAATGTTTAATTCCCTTATCATGATTGTCCTCGAACTCTCCCAGCATCTTCTCCACGTCATGCCCACTCCCTAGCTAGCCTCAACTATAAAAGCCCCATCACCCCCAAATATCCCATACCTACTCACCAACGCTACACATATACAATTTTCTGGGTTTAGTTACACTCTCGCTTCGATCCTTGTAAATTTCACTTCTGTTCGGTGTTTGTTTCGTTTTCGTGCTGCTAGTCTCACACACGGACACACATAGAGAGAGAGAGAGAATATGAGGGACCCTGCAGGAGTGGAAAGTGTAGTGAGATACTTGGACGAAGATGGAGACGGGAAGGTGTCGGCGGAGGAGCTGCGGCGGCGGCTGGGGAAGTTGGGAGGGGAGATACTAGAGAAGGAAGCGGAAACGGCGATAAAGGAATTGGATTCGGACGGCGATGGGCTATTGAGTTTGGAGGATTTGGTGGGATTAATGGAGAGAGTGGGAGAGGAAGAGAAGTTGGAAGATTTAAGAGAAGCGTTTAAAATGTATGATGCAGAAGGGGTTGGGTTCATAACGCCCAAGAGCTTGAAGAGGATGCTGGGCAAGTTGGGAGAATCCAAATCCATTGAAGAATGCAAACTCATGATTGATACCTTTGATTTAAATGGCGATGGCGTCCTTAGCTTTGAAGAATTCATAATTATGATGAAGTGATCGAAGAGATTATTCATGTTATTTTGTTTCTATATTCACCTCATCTCTGTCATTCTTTTGATTTTTAGTCGTATGTGTTATAATCTTTGATTTGTATATATTATTTCTTGTTATATCGACCACGAGGATTTGAAATCTTCAATCACGTTCCATTTCCTCCCTTGCAAATATGAGCCAGCCTCTGTTAATTCTGTATGCTTTTTTTTTTTTTTTTTGGCTTTCTGATCCTAAGGATTATATTCCAACAAAAGTATAAAGCCATGAATGGCAAGCCACGGTAAGTATATTATATTATATTACATTATATATATATATATATATAGGTAATTTTTTAATGAAATTATAGTATTTGATTTTGCAACTCTTCTCTCATAATCAATATATCAATCATATGGTAGTCATTCTTGTGGGGAATTGAGGCAAGGCAATTGTTGGTTATATAATTAATGTTCAAGTAATGTGAAGGACGATAGTTGTCTACAACATTACCTTATTGGCATTCTTACGCTGTTTTTCATAGGCAATATCTTTTTTTTTAACCTTTATAGCCAATGTATCATTAAAACTATCAATTATACTTCATTTTAAAATATAATTCTTTTAATATTTGCACGCATATTGAGAAATAAACATAATTGATATGACAATTACTTTCAAATTGCCAAATTTGTCCTTAATTCATTTTATCATTGGCAGAATAAAATAAAGAAGCAAGGGTTCCCATAAATGCCCTACTTTTAGCTTACAGATAAGAAAATAACGGCAAAATATCAATTAATATTGCAATAAATTTTAAAAGAACATGTTAAATAATTTTTTTTAAAAAAAGGACCTAAATTTTATAATAGAGGGTTAGGGTCCCAACTCCCAAGTCCAAATTTATACCTGCACCCTGGTAAAAAAAAATAAAAAATACCTGCACTTCACTGGCCCTTATAATCTGAAGTAAGGTGCTACTTTAGTGCCATAATTGAGTGCTCAATATGTTTAAAATTTAAGAGGAAGGTACATGAACAGATTATATCCACCAAGACCATGATCAAAGACAATGCTTAAAAGTATTCCGTTTAATTAATGAAGACACAACCCAGGAAAAAAAAAAAGTGCCCTTTGAAGAACTATAAGGGCAAGCAAGCTTTACAGAACAACAGAATAACATAACAAAAACAAAAACTTTGTGCGTCGCACATTCGCCCAAGGATATTAAAATTTTTATTTTTAAATTAAAAAGTAGGCACTCACAAACTGAGGTTATAAATTGGATTGAACCTATAATTTCCTGCTTATAAATAAGCATTCGTGTCACTAAATTATAAATTTAAGATATTCATATTTAGTATCTAATAATGCCTTAAACAAAATTGTTTTCAATAAAAAGATAACTATGTTTAGGAAAAAAAAAAAATATAAAGTTAGAGATTGACAGGCACACCAGTACTTTATTGAGCCCAAGCAAGCCCAGTTATGGCAAATCGCTTTAATATACAAGCATAAACAAACATGATTTTTCTATAATGTAACTTGAGATTCTTGATGCAATTTGCATGTAACCAAGGTATTACCTCCGGTCCTTAATATAAAATCTTGTTTGACTTTTATTTTGATTTTAAATATAAGACCCCAATCCATTTTGTCTCTCATGTTTGTATTTTTTTCCAAGATAGTCCTCCTAATAATAGTAAGGATATTTTAGGAAGACAACATATATTTATTATAAATAACTAACTTAACTTCTTTCTTTAATCTCTTCAAATTAGTCAACTAGCTCTTATAATTAGGGTTGGAAGTAGATAATATTTTAGGATGAGAAGATTATATATGTCACATAGAACCTGTATCAATAATTTTGTAAACATAAAAAAAAAAAAAAAAGAAGACCGCAATGAAGTAATAATGTACATGAAGAGCAGCATGTTCAAGTGCATCCATAATTTTCGAGTAACGTCATATCTAATTTCATCTCTCAATGATATTTGGGTCTTATACATAATTTAGTAACACGAAAGCTTCAAGTAAATTTGATGTTGTGAGTTCAATTTTCTCATAGCCTCCTATCTAACCAATGTCCCTTTAGCTAGAAATTGAAAAAAAAAATTATTTGAAATCTATCGGGATTTTGTTTCCCAGTTATGGAAGCTTTGGCCAATTCCCGCCAAAGGCAAGAAGTCAAATCCTATTTATATGAAATATAAAATTTATAAAATATTACTTCTACAATTTTCCGTATTTTTCAGATTTCTGCACATTCACATTTTAACTTACTACATAATATCTTTTTTTAGTCAAACTATTGTCCACTTCCCATAGGCAACTGAATTATTGTAATTTATTAAGTCTAAGAAATTAGAGACTCATTTATTTCAAGTCAACTTTTAAGAATCAAATCAACAATCAACAATGGAAGAAAAATTAAAGGGTGCACATATAGTTATATTTTTCAGTATTTTATGTAATTTTTAATTAATTTAACAATTGTGTGTGTTATAATTCTAAATGTTGTATTCCCTTCTCGATGCATTATAGTGTTGGAAAACTTACTACATTTTGACATTTACATTTAAATGAGAAAAAGAATATTAAAAACACGTGAACAATAAAAGAATACACCTCAAATGAAGAAAAATTCTTACCCTTTCCCAAGTTTCTTCAAAAAGTATAGTGAGTTTTTAAATTTTCCCTAGTCATAATCTTCACGTCTAATTTGCACATTGCGATCATCACTCATGTCATTAAATAATAGGAACAATTGCAAAAAAACATAGAACCAAAATATTATCTGTTAAAAAAATTAACTTAAAAAGAAACATTGAAACAATTGAAATTAAAAAAAGCTGTAAGATATTAAATATTAGGTATAATTAATATACAAGTCTTTATAGTTTCAATCAGTTTTTAATCAAGTCCCTATAATATTTTTTTCTTTTTATCAGGTTTTTATAATTTCATATGTTTTTAATCAGGTCTTTTATAATTTTTTTTCCTTCTTATTAGGTCCTTATTGTTTTACCTTATTTTTTATTAGGTCCTTATAGTTTTTATTTTTTATTCTATAAATAATAATATTCTATAAATAATAAATTATTATAATAATCTTATGTTAATATTCTTTTAAATTTTTAGTTAAACATATATATTACTTATTTTTCAATTCTAATGTTTGTAATTATAAAATTCAAATTATAATAATAAAATTTTCTAAAATTAGAATTTAATTATAAATAATTTATGGTTAAGCATAATTGACTATTCTGATTAACTTAATGATTATATTAATTATTTTGTCCAATTATATAATTATTAATTTAAAAATAAAATAAATTTTATAAAATAAATTTAATAAATAATTTTTTAAAACTACAAAGGACCTAATTAAAAATAAGTGAAACTATAAGGACCTGGTAAAAAAAAAAAAAAATAGAGGAGCTTAATTAAAAACACATGAAAATAAAAGGATCTGATAAAAAGAAATTTTTTTACAAGGATCTGATTAAAAATCAGATAAAATTTTAAGGACCCGGAGATTAATTATCCCTAAATATTACATATTAGTCTATTTCAAATTGTACAGCGTCTTTTCACCATTGAAGATAACTATATCTCTCACCAAATTATCTTGAAAATAATTAAAAAATAATATTAACAATGGCTTTATAATTCCTTTATAAAAGAAAAAGTATGGCAAAAATAAAAAGGATAAATAATTAATAAATGACTCATTTACAAATTGCTATACTAACCTTAGCAATTTTTTCAAATCAGATTCAATATGATTCCACCAATCTTTTGTTTTTACTGCATAATTTTTAGGTGATTGAATACAAATTTATACAATCTTATTTTATCTCTTCTAAAATCACAAAGTGTCCATTTACAATAAGTATTATACATCTTTGATACACTGTACTATCGATATTGAAGACTTTCAACACATTGCAGTTAGCCCGTATTATATAGGTTTTATAAACTTGATATAAAAAATTTACTTTGCAAGTCTAATAGAATATAGTAACAATTACTAAAATATGTTTTTTTTATGGAAGAGTCACTTCAATTTAACATTAATGTAATTTGCTTATACTGCTAGCTGTTCAATAATTTTGTTATCACTCTTTTTGACATTTATAACAACCTTTTTCGTTTTCTTTTTTTCTCTTTAATTTTTAAGTTTAATTTAGATTCTTAGTTTGTACTCCTCCGGTCCTTAATATAAAACCCATTTAACTAATTTGATTAGATTAAAGAAATTAGGTAAGTTAGTTAATTATAAGAAAAGTGACACATTTTTCCTAAAACACTATAATCATATTTCTTAATACCCCATCTCTCTCTTCTACTTGATTATGGTTGAGGGAGTATTCATAGGGGTATTTTAGAAAAAATTAATAAATATGAGAAATGGGTCTTATATTTAAGACCAAAACCAACTTAAGAATTGGGTCCTATATTAAGGACAAGAGGAGTATTCAATTTTGATTTGATTGGTATTAGAGCTATCAATTTGGTATCAGGACCACTTTTAAAACTTTTCATCAGCGTCAAAACCATTATCAAAACTATCAATTAGTATCAAAGATTTTAGCTCTTTAATTTTCTCATTATCACTGCTTTTAGTAATTGCAGCATGTTTTTTTTCCTCCCAAAATTTGTTTTTCCAAGTTTGTCTTCTATAACATAAATTCGTTACATTCAATACTACATATCAAATTAGATGTTAAAAAATTTATTCCACCTTTATAAAGTTTTTTTTTTTTTTTACATTTTTAATCAGTGAACCGGTCTTCTTAACTAGCTCATCTAAATTATTTTTCTCAGCATTATTTTTCACATTTTTAAGTAATGTATGAGCTTTATTGTTTTTTTTTTATAGGCAAGTGAGTCTTCCTACAACACAATCAAAAGAGGATAATAAATCAATAAATGTAAACAATTTGGTTAAATATTAAAATGAAAGAAAACATATAAGAATTACCCAATAACAACATATCTTTATAATTAAATTGTTTCACCATTAAAAATAAAACATTCAATCCAATAATTATTTAGTATGTAAAAACTAAATTGATTATTTATTTACCTAGTTTCAAAATCACATTTTGAAAAATACATTTTAGTTTATAATCAATGTATCAGTGTAGTTAGTCATATTATCAAAATTTTCACAATAAGTAAT